AAAAAACAACCACCAAGCTCTGCTGTAGGGTTTCCCTCCCTACTTCTGTAGTGCAAATACAAGTTTGGTGGTTTGAAGCCATTAATAAATTGTGCACCACGAAACATTCCACCAAAAATGCAGGATTGTGTTCTCTTGGTCTACTGTGAAGAAGCTTAAACTGTGTTTGAATTATTATTTTATAGTATGTCTAACTCTTTCAATCCTCTCCCTGTTGCTGGAGCTGACAGAGAGACTGCTTGGGGTGTTTCTTAGCTACTATCAGGTAAATAAGGTCATTTTCTTTAAAACAACTTTTGGATCTTTCCATCTGTGCAGAGCAAAGAATTCTCTTCTGGGCAGAACGTAAATCTCTGCCTTTATAATGATGTCAGAAAGACGTGAAAGTGTTGAACAAAAAGTGAGAGAATGTGCATGTGAATGCAGTAAAGCAAGTTAAGACACCTGATTTGCAAGAAAAACTGCTTATGTTTTTCTTGCAAAGTAGATGTCTTAAATTCAATGTCTTTTTTTCCTGTTTCGTTGTCATGTATTTTGCAAGATGAAAGGATTAACATCCTTTCTGTACATTTCCTTCACTTCACTGGCTGTCCTGCAGTCCCGACACTGCATTGTAGCCCAGTCAATTGATCTTCAACCAGCTGCCTCTCGGACAGCTTTCTGCACAACAGTAAAACCGAGAAACAAGCAAACGCCCCCAAAACAGGAAAACAAACTTCTTTACCTTCATCCACTTAATGTAGTAGTCCATCACTGTTGCAACCTGGGTCTGCTGTAACATGATTTCCGACACCCACACTGGGGAAAAAAAAAGCACATTTTTAACAGGCCACGTATTCTCACGCTAGAGGTAGTTTCCTCCTATTTTCCAGAGGTAACACTCAACACTGAAGTGGACTTACCAGCGTAGGTTCTTTTATTGACATCTGATTCCGTTAGCGCCTGGAGAGGACATGACAGAAGTCAGACCTCTGGAGTGCACAGTACAGACCATTTATTTAATCGCTATCAGAGGTTTTACATTCGAGGTATCAGCTCAGGATTGGCTCCTACCTGCTGCCACTAAAAAGTCCTCAGAAAAAGAGCAGTGAGCATACAGAGTGCATTTTTTTTCCAGTTGCAAAACATGGCAAAGACAGCCATGATTTTGTGGTCACTGTGAAATTCTGGAGTGAGCACCAGCATGGGTGACCAAATTCAAGCCATTACCATTCAATGCAGAGAACGAGCGTTGTGTTTGAAGGTTTTAAGCACTGCCTAACTACACCCTAGTGTCGCAGTTCAGGTGGGGAACTGCGTCAGCATGCGTAGGCTGCAAAGGAACAAGTAAGAGGTTTATTCCATGCAGAAAAAAAAGAGACGCATTTCTTCTTTTTTTCAGCATGGAATAAACCTATTACTTGTTGTTTTACACCCTAGTGTGGCATGGTTACCTTAACGAAGCAGCGCCCACTGTTATATGGTTACTCCAAAGGGGAGTGCTGTACTTACGAGGACAAGAATGGAGAAAACAGAGATGCTGTTAACTGCCTGCGTTTGTGAGAGCTTTGCATCTGCGGTGCGTGTACATGTTTAGACGCAGCACAAATACAGCAGTAAAGAGGTCCCGTCCCTACCGCTGTCCTCCAGGGCAGGTCCCTCTTGGTTTGGTCATACCAGGACAGCAGTCGCCCTCGCAGCGAGGTGACGTCACCCGGCTCTTGGAAAGAGTGGGCCGGCGAAGAGAGGAGCGCAGGCTCTGGGCGAAGAGGGGAGAAGTTAGGGAAGACAGGCGGTTAGGAGATCGCAGCAGCCTGACGCACACCGGGTATCTTCAG